ATGAGTAGAAGGGTTTGATAATATCCTGAAAAGAACCCCAAGCTTTTTTTACAATAAAATCGTTTTTTCTTACACTATTTTTAAAACAAATTTACTAAAAATTTTTTGTTTTTTTTTAAACTATTTTTTGTGTGTGGTTAAACACTTCTGCCAATGTATTCTGGCTAAACACAACAACTGACCCTGTTAACAACTTAGCACCTAGAGTAGGTATCATGAGCTCGTTCGCTTGTACCGAACAATAATAAAACCCAAAAAAATAGTTAATCTCATAACGCAATTTCACAGGTTTCCATGTCGTGCGCGACATGTTACGCAAACTGCCTCAGCGCACGCACGTTGTGCAACGTACTTAATCGTTACCCAAGTTTATTGCTATTAGCGGTAAATCTTGATAGAGATTGATCGGTGCTTAAAAAAAGGTAATTGACTTCGCTTCGTACTTTGTTCGCGGGGTCCTATTTCGGTTTCGTATTCCACGAATCTCATTTGAAAATAAAACATTAATGTTTTATGTTTTTTTCACTTCCCAATTGCGTTATCCACACACCGTGTTCCGAACTCATATTAATCTATACTAATATATAAATCTACAGTGGTTTTAACGGATGTTCCGTTATAACTACTGAACCATGCATCCGATTGACTTGAAACTTGGTATCCATCTAGAAAATACATGTACTTAATGGATAGGCTAATATTTATATGAGTGTTGGACTCCATACACCAGTTGCGGGGGTGTTAATGATGAGAATGTTTGTGGGGGTGAGAAATAATAATGTTAATTTTAAATGCCCAGCAAAGCGGTCGGGTACAGCTAGTGTCTAATAAATATGTTATAATAAGATTCATTTATTTAATTTGCCGATGTGGATAAACATACACTGAATTCCTGCATTTTTTTCATTTAGTATAATTAGCAGAAAATTTCGAACTTCAACTGGTGATATTATATGACGTGTTAAGTTTGCAAAACTTCGTGTTCTTTTATTAAAATCAATTTAAAAACCTGTCTCAATAGGTCAAGACGGGTCGCTATTGCTACGGAACAACGCAAAGAAATTACCGAGTGTCATATCTTTCATTGTATTTCTTCACAACGCATTAAGTTAGAGTATGCTGCTCTTAAAATCACAGATTCGCATAAGGAAAAACTGACCAAATTTATTTGTATTTAGATTTAGTATTTTTTTTTTCCTCTCTAAGCACCTGTCATTTTTGTAAACAGTTTGACATTGGCAAAATCAATGCCAAAGGCGTTGGAGCCAAATACTTTATAAAAAAAAGTTAAAGTATACATAATCAATTGAACGTTCTAGCGTCAATTTATAAATTTTTCATGTGTTGTAGATGTCGAAAAATCTAGAAGAAAACATGCACGCCTTAATTATTTGATCTCGTATACTAAGAGGTTAGAGTCACAAATAAAATATCACATTTTAAGCTGATTGATTCTGAACATATCAAAAAAGATAGATGTGAAAAAACAAAATTTCAGGATACACCCACAAAAATGCAATGTTGAAGATTTTATAACGCTTTTGTTATCTTCCCATAACTAAATGTAGGTAGCTTAAGGAAGTATTTTAAAAATGCGCGGACGGGTGGGTGAGCTCACGGGGCTAGTCATAGCAAAGGCAGTTCTCTGCTGATTCCACCTGCAGATCGAAATCGCGACCCACTGAGAAGATCCGACGAGAAACTCAGTGGGTTAATGACGATCCGAAAGTTCGGATGTCAGAAGTGTTGTTTGGATTTTGTAAATATGCTAAGTACATCTTGATAAAGCTCTTATCTTTTTATAAGTTAATATATACTATAAGCTACAGCTAAAATCTTATTGTTTTTCTAAAATTCTTATAAATTTACTTTCGGCATTTTAACATCTTGTGATATTTAATAACGTGTATATTATTTATTGAAAAAAAATTATACGGGTATTAGCATCAGAAATTAAAATACTTGACAAATTAAACATTAATATTTCGCCGATATTATTAATCGCGCTACGCTAAATTATGTCGTACGATAATATCGAACGTTTCAGAATAACGTCTCCAGTTAATAACGCATACCAAAGGGAATAAGGTGTCAGTGAGGTTATTAGACATCAACATTCTATCTTTGTTGAGTTTCGTAATAAGCATATGTATACGTATTAACGGTACGTTTTACCTCAATTGCTTTTCAATGGTTGCTGCTAAGAAGATTCATTAAATTAAAATTATCTTTCCATGCATTAATAATGTGTTTTGGACAGAGAAAACTATTTGTTTATATTATACGCATTTCTGTTTTGAAGTAGGTACTGTTCTAATCAACTTTATTCATTTATTTCAACTTCATGTTGTCATAGCAAACTTTTTTAATTATGGTCTCTAGACCTGAAATAGTTGCCTACAATTTTATTAGTATTTAAATTGCAGCAAGTGAATATAGACACACACGACGATACATCTGATCTATCATACGACAGTCATCACAATCGCCCTCCATAGCCTCCAGCCCTAATACATCAATCGATTTGTTATTGCCCTTGTAGACAGAAGAGCATACGGTCGGATGGGGAGTAGTTACCCTCATGAACGTCAGCAATTCCCGAGGCAGAGGCGAGCGCTTGCCTACCGTGAAAGACTCATCACAAGTCTCGTTAAGCTCTCGTAATGTGGGAGGGTTATTCCTGTAAATCGGATCGCATGAATGCTTTTTTTACTGGAACTACTTTTTTACTGGTGGTAGGACCTCTTATGAGTCCGCACGGGTAGGTACCACCACCCTGCCTATTTCTGCCGTGAAGCAGTAATGCGTTTCGGTTTGAAGGGCGGGGCAGCCGTTGTAACTATACTTGAGACATTAGAATTTATATCTCAAGGTGGGTAGCGCATTTACGTCGTAGATGTCTATGGGCTCCAGTAACCACTTAACACCAGGTGGGCTGTGACCTCGTCCAGCTATCTAAGCAACAAACAAAAAAACTTCGCGACATAACAGGCCAAATCGTGGTACCTACGAATGTAGACTTAGAATACACCCGAAAACCAATGATTACGCGAATTTCACGTTAAAGATAAAAATCAAAGTGAAGTTTACAGTGTGTTCACTACAAGCACCGGTCACCGTCCTCATCGAACCCGTCGCTTGCGACGAAGGGCTCGACGAGCGAATTAACCCACAGAGACAGCCCACTGAGTTTCTCGCCTGATCTTCTCAGTGGGTCGCGTTTCTGACCCGGTGGTAGATTCTGCGAAGCACTGCTCTTGCTAGGGTCAGTGTTAGCAACTCTCCTGAGCCCCGTGAGCTCACCTACACACGCTAGGGTAAGCTGAAATAGCCTCTCAAGGCTATCAGCATAGGTAGGAGAACAAAAAACAGTGTGTTTAGGGCGAGAATTTGTATGGAGTTAGTACGTTTACCTACGTTTGGCGCTAGGGGCGCTGTTCCAACTGCAAAAAAATGTGAGCTAACTTTTACGCTATCGAGAACGTTAAAAAACTCGCACTATGAGCACACAGGTACCTATTATTTTTAATATACACCATCTAACAAAAGGCTGAATGTATTGTCAGTATAACAATGGCACTATTTGTTTACAGTCTGGCAACCCGCCGTCGCGTATCCTGTGTTACCATTTTTGAACCACAAACACGAAAAATGGAAAAAAAGGTCCGCTTTTTTGTGACATGAAAATAAAAATCTCTGCAGTCTAGTCGCCCGAATGAACTTTATTTTTTATTTATTTTATATCTCAGCCATATTTCATTCCGTTCCTCTAAAATTGTTTGGTTTATTATTATGATACTGCGAAGTAATTTAAATTATATTAATTAATAAGTGTTTACAAACCCTGTTAATTAGCTTTTAACATTTTCATTATACATATTTTATTTCTCTATTGAAAAAAAAACAAATAAAGGTCACACAAGCCTACCAGATATTAAGTAGTTATCAAACATCAAAACACGAACATTCGCTGTATTCACCCTTGGACACGAGTTCGAAGCCTCAAAGTGTTATCTGCCAATCCCACAACGAATTACCTGTAAATGTATGGCCATCCCTATCCTAAGCATTGCTACAAAATTGATAATTACTCGCAAAATTGGAACCCCCATATAGTCGTATCAATCGATACAAGTACAGCCAAGTATCTTAAACATCAGGCCACGACGAATTCATATCGGCAGACATTTTTTACGACCTACCAACGATATAATAATAGTATTATAGTTTTATAGTGTAAGTTGATGTATAAAATAATATATGCTTATTGTGTTGCTTTTGTTTTTTTGTAATTTAAATTTGAAATTTTCTCTTCGCTGTTCACTTTCTACTTATATGTGATTTTGATTGTGGAAACATATTTGGTTATTGTTTTAGCTATATTTTTTAAAATATTATATGTTTGTATTGTAGTGTTTGTTTCCCAAATAAATAAATAATGTGCTATATTCGAATTATATAAACATTGCATTATGTTATTAGTGAAAAATTCTTACTTACCTGTAGAAGCCACATAAACACGGTCATGTTAGTTCAACAAAGTAACAGATACAAAGATTTTCAGAAGATCGAACGATAAAACCAGAACAAATATTGTACAAGTCGTCAATCGATTTCAATCGCTATCGCAGACGGCAATGGCTGTTGATAGGGCACAGCAGATTCTTTGCAAAACGAACCCTCCACTTACTCAGGAGCCTTCGTTTCTAAATCATTTCTTATAGCCTTAAGAAGTTGCAACATACGGCCCAACGTACGATTGACAATGGTAATGTTCAGTGTGCTTAGTGCGAGTTTCTTAACGTTCTGGATAGCGTAAAAGTTAACCTAATTATGAATGAAGTTGGAACAGCGCCCCTAGCGGCAAACGTACGCAAGCGATCCCATTCCATACAAATATGAGCTAACTTTTACGCTATCGACAACGTTAAAAAACTCGCACTAAGCATGCTGGTTGGAAAGGCGAAACGAATAATTCTATCCCGGGAAAGGGAACTTACCTGCAAACGGCACGTCACAAACATATTCTTCGACGCAGTTATCAGTATTTCCGCTTCGATCGGTAGCACCACTGGCGACGGACGCTGCTGAGGCTGCTCTAAGTAGATTCATTTCGGTTTCAGTCTGACTGTCACGCAGCGTTGATCTTCTTTTGTACTCCTGTTGGTGATAATTCAAATCTCAACAACTTGATGTCACAACTCAAACTGAGAGCTTAAGTCATCGTGGCCGAAAGGATAAGACGTCCGGTGCATTCGTGTTAAGCGATGCGCCAGTGTTCGAATCCCGCAGGCGGGTACCAATTTTTCTGATGACGTACTCAGCAAATGTTCACGATTGACTTTCGCGGTGAAGGAATAACATCGTGTCATAAAAATCAAACCCGCAACATTACAATTTGCGTAATTACTGATGGTAGGACCTCTTGTGAGTCCGTGCGGGTTAGTACCCACCCTGCCTATTTCTGCCTTTGTAACTATACTTGAGACCTTAGAACTTATTTCTCAAGGTGGGTGGCGCATTTACGTTGTAGGTATCTATGGGCTCCAGTACCTAACCACTTAACACCAGGTGGGCTGTGAGCTCGTCCACATCTATAGCAATAAAAAAAGGATATTATTTAACATCATAATCGACACAAGCTCATATCACTCATTGCCAGTAGTAAGCAATTGAGCCATACGTGTTTTAGCCGATTCGACTCCAATGTTTAAGAAGAAGTCCAACGTAATCTTCTTGACCCAAAAGAAAAAAAAGTCGGTACCCAAGAGGGGATGATTAGAAATGTTGGCAACAAAATAAAACGTATACGTAACGTAACGTAAAACGTATGATGGCTTATTAACAAAAAGTGTCGGACATTAAAATGAAGTCGTTGGACGTAGCTCACTTTATCATACACTTCTGAGAATTACATCTGATTCAATCCATTTTCATTGTTCATTGGAAGTATCTGGCAATACGAAATGAAAATGAGGTTGGTAAGAAAATGGTAACTTTGAATGTGGAAGGATATAGAGGAAGGGGTAGACTTAAAAAGAAATGGATGGATTGCGTGAAAGACGATACGGGTAAGAGGGGAGTGAGCGAAGAAATGGTATATGATAGAAGAGTATGGAAGGAGAGAACATGTTGCGCTGACCCCAGGGCAGGCAGGGAGAAGGGCAGGATAATGATGATGATGATGATTGAAAGTATCTGGCAAATCTATGGAAACCTAAGTACGGAAACCTTAGAAAAGTGGTGGCATTCTCCAATTTATTAAAACCAATATTAGAATATTACTTATATAAGCAAATTTAAGGTACCGAACATGTTCACGTTGGACCTGATTATCCTGATATTTTGTATTATCAAGATGTAGTAGGTTTTTTGTGTGTTTTATAATAGGATGTTTTTGTACTGTCTTTTTTGTACACTTTGGTGTTCTTTAAAATTATATTTCGCCTTGATAGTAGAGTTTACTGAAAGAAAACACATGAACTAGTTTAACTCGCCTCTGTACATATATTTCTGCGTTCCAATGAAATAACTATTGATGAGCTTTGATGCATAAACTGGCATAAAGTATAAATCTCTGGATGATTGGACTCAATCACATAGCAACAACCAATCATGATATTGTAGGGATTTCTCTATTGTTGTCTGCAGAGGCCCATCTAACGATGAGTGGTCACTGATGCCTATGGACATCAGCAAAGTCAAGAAAATAGCTGTGGCACTGTTGCCAATTGGAGCTATTTTAACGAATCGTTTGAAGAAGAACATGTCACAGCGCTATGATGTGTGGTACACGGGACTTTACTTGACTTGGTAGTGAATATGATCCACATGCCTCTTCGCATGATTTTGAAGAAATACCAGTACTTTTTTTCCTACCTAAGCTGATGATCTTGAGAGACCATATTAGCGTCACCGGGCGATTAGGTGAGCTCACGGGGCTCAAGCCTGACGCTGTTGATAACTCGAGCCCTAGCAAAAGCCGTGCTTCGCAGAATCCAATTCCGGATCGGAAACGCGACCCACTGAGAAGATCCGGCGAGAAACTCTCTGTCTGTGTCTGTGGGTTAATTTACTCGCCGAGCCCTTCGTCGCAAGTGTCGGATTCGACGAGAACGATGATCTTGGGGTACCTAAAAGCACCGTTAGTGGATGAGGAGGATTCAAAATAACGTGTTTTGGGCAATACCCTTACTCAAAGGCATCAGTAGTGTTGGGTACAAAAACCGGATGCATACTGCTATTTATTTTACATACATCGAATACATATATACATTATTTATTGAATTACAACTTGCGCGAATGTTACTAATGAAAAATTTTCTGCCATTGTACTAGTCGTACAATCACGTTTCGTTTTGAAGCTGTTGTTGTTAGCGCAAAAAATAGTTATTTGTTGTTAAAAAAAGGTTTGTTTTCGTTTCGAGTGGTGATTTTGAGTCCCGAGCAAGCAAAGGATGCTAAGATTGATTCACGAGCGTAGCAAGTGATTCAAAGTTAGAATCCTGAGCGTAGTGAGGGACTCAACAGCACGAGATGCAAAAAGCTTTGCTCTCGTGTAGCACACATAGCTTTTCACCTCAGCAGTGAAAACACATATTACTTAGGAGAAATAGAAATGATCAGGAATAGATTGAAATAACTATTAAAAAAAAAAATTCATTTATTTTTACAAATATCTTGAAATTTTAGGGTATTACGCGTTTCCGAACGTGTTTTCTTTGAGGTCGAATTCCAAATCGAATTTCGAAGGGGTTTGTTTTTTTCACTCGCTTTTTTATATGCATGTGAAAGAGACAGGGCACAGTAAAATTCGAATGTTTCAAATTGATGGCTGAACAATGTCAATTCGTGGCACTGAAGATTAAAAAACTACTACTTTGACCCACGCTCGAATCAAAATCGCGTTTTGTTCACTGCTGTTTCGCAGCAAAAGCGGCAAGTTAAGCTGCTAAGGTAAAAATATATATTTACCAACCGCCTCTAAATAACCAGCACGGAATATTGCGTTTTAGTTTTCATCAGGCGACAGAACGAACGGCTTACTACAATTATCAATACTGCTTCAGGCGCTTTTGTCTATACTAATATTATAAAGAGGAAAGATTTGTTTGTTTGTTTGTTTCGAATAGGCTCCGAAACTACTGGACCGATTTGAAAAATTATTTTTCCATTAGAAGCCGACATTGTCCCTGATGAACATAGGCTACTTTTTTAAATTTTTTTTTATTATATTTTTTTGGTTTCATGTGTATTTTAATGTTTCCGAAGCGAAGCGAGGGCGGGTCGCTATAATAAATAAAAATGTTTGACAATTCATAAAAAAAAATATTGCCCTTGTAGGCAGACGAGCATACGGCCCACCTGATGCTGAGTAGTTACCTATGCTCATCGATGTCAGTAATACCTACCCAGGGGCAGGACCAACCCGCTGCTTACCGTTATATAACGTGCGTTATACCATTTTTATAGTTTTTTTATGGCTTAGATGGGTGGACCAGCTTACGGCCCACCTGGTGTTAAGTGGTTACTCGAGCCCATAGACATCTGCAAAGTAAATGCCGCCACCTACCTTGAGACAGAGTTGTAAGGTCTGTTGTACTTTTAATAATACAACGGCTGCCCCGCCCTTCAAACCGAAACGCATTACTGCTTCACGGCAGCAATAGGCAGGGTGGTGGTACATATTCGTGCGGACACACAAAACGTCCTACCACCAGTAATTACACAAAGTATAATTTTGCGGGTCTCATTTTTATTACACGATGTTATTCCTTCACCGTGGAAGTCAATCGTGAACATTTGTTGAGTACGTATTTCATTAGAAAAATTGGTACCCGCCTGCGGGATTCGAACACCGGTGCATCGCTACATACGAATGCACCGGACGTCCTATCCTTTAGGCCACGACGACTAGGCTCGACTCGCACTTCAAAGCAAAGAGCATTACTGCTTTGCGGCAAAACTATCCAGAGCGGTGGTACTTACCCGTGCGGACGCACAATACGTTCTATTAGCAGTTTATCACAATTAATTGTACCTAAACACAAAGCCAAATGTTATTGAAACATAAATCTACTTCATATACTACTGGTGGTAGGATCTCTTGCGAGTCCGCACGGGTAGGTACCACCACCTTCCCTATTTCTGCCATGAAGCACTAATGTTTTTACGTTTGAAGGTTGGGGCAGCCGTTGTTACTATACTGAGATCTTAGAACTTATATCTCAAGGTGGGTAGAGCATTTACGTTGTAGACGTCTATGGGCTCCAGTAACCACTTAACACCAGGTGGGCTGTGAGCTCGTCCACCCATCTAAACAATAAAAAAAAACATATATCTGAGAATACACAAAAGGTTGATCAAACACCTACATACTTGATTATGAAAAACTGATAAAATTTAACGCATTTTTTTTTAAAATTACTTACATTTATTTAAATGTGGACCAAGTAAATAACGAGATATCTTGTGCAAAACCTTAAATATGCTTCAATGAAATGTGAAGAATCTCACGTGACGGTATTCAAATTATGTATTGTTTATTTTGGTAGATTTGTTTGTTTGTCCGATCGAGATCAAACTGTACAATTGATCCCCTTCAGAGAAGTTTGCTGGCGTATCACCAAAAACGTATAGTAGTCGGGGCGCCAGTCGTTTTCACAAATGGGCTTGTTACATTTTAACGATTAGAAATAAGACCAGATTTACTGTTTACAAAATTATCTATTTTAGGAGTCTGTGTGTACTTTTTTGTGTATATTTGTTTTATATTAATAAATTGGATAAAAATAGATTTTTTATTGTTTAATTTTCATACTTCCGATTTCGAAATATTGTTAGCTCCTGATGCCGACGTATTTACATTAAAATATTAGCATAATGAAATAATAAAAATGGTACCATTTTCTACTGTATACTTCTGTTTATCAACGTGTTTTCTTTTTTTTAAGCTATTCAAGAGCTTTACTTTTTTGATATAGTCAAGATTTTTACAAAAAACAAGACAAAAGAGTCATGTAATATTTTATATTAATTTTTTTGTATACTTTTTATTGATTATTTGTAATATTGTTGAGCTATCAATGAAGAAATTTTTAAAATCTCAGTTTTATATTCTATGACGTTTACTTTTGTGTTCAATAGAATTAAATCTTAGAATTAGAATAGATCCTAGAAATAAATCTAATCCTTGAGATATCTGTCGTTAAGGTCGAATTTCGATTGTCATTTGATTGTAGATTATATTCAAAGTTTAGTAAAATAGATCGGCCACCAATCGATCGAGCTCGGTACTACATATCGACGGAAGGAAGCGGAATTGTCGTAACTTGAAAAACCCAACTTTACTCCAGAGCCTTATAATTAATTATGTATCACTACCTAATATAAAACAAAGTTACTTTGTCCCTATATCCCTATCTATGCTTAAATCTACGCAACGGATTTTGATGCGGTTTTTTTTAATAGATAGAGCGATTGAAGAGGAAGGTTTATATGTATAATAACATCCATTAAATAGTGGAGAAATCAATAATAAATTACAGTTTTCGAAGCGAAACGAGGGCGGGTCCCTAGTAATATAATATGATACAAAATGATTTAGCTCAAAATTCAAGTTACGACATTTCCGCTTTCAACCGTCGATGTATGCAAATACATTTTTCACTTCGAACTGACTCCGCATTATCGTGAAGTGCCTTGAATACAAAACTCGGGTGCGTTTTCTACAAAACAGGGTGAAGCAAATTAAAAATAAAAATAAATCATTATAAAGTAATTTATTGCGTTAACTAAATGATAAAGCTAATTTAAACAATACAACGAAACTTAAAAGTATGCATCTAAATAAATGAATGAATAAACATAAAAAATAACATAATAATAAATACTTCTAAATTAGTGGTGAGACCTAAGATTCGTCTATTTAATCCATTGCGATTATTATTATACTGTCATTAATATATACTGTATTTAAATGAAATTTGATAAAGATTGTTTTCTCTTAAAAATACAAAATAGGTACAATAAAGTAATCATAAAAAAGTAGCAAAGCAAAATCATAATATTTTCATAGCTCCAAAACAGTGACAAAACTATTTTCTTTTATCATATTATATAAATTCGATAACACATTCAAATAAACTTGATTTAGAAAAAGAAAAAATAAATGGAATAAAATTTATCACAACCCATTAAATATCCAAAAGTCTTCTATAAAAATTAAAATCAAATATGTTTAAAGTATTTAAGGAAACATTTAATTATAACATTTAAATTTGCAAATTAAAAACATACGCTAAATGCAAACGATACTGTCATGTCGGTAAAAATAATCACGTAACGATAAATAAATTATTTTTTCATGAAATCGTTTTCATTCAAATCGATTAAAACAAAATCGGTAACTGCAAATGCATAGCTTTGAACTTAATAGAGCCAACAAAAGTCTATAGTGTAATTTGGATTAAACTCAATAGGACCCACGAGAGTCTGTGTAATTTTACTATAGAATTTATCTATAGACTTTTTACAGCCCTAGATGTTATCAGTGTGCCTTTAATTTAAAAAAAACATAGCAAGACCTTAGCACTAAAGATTATAATTATTTTTAGTGGCCAGTATTATGTACTTTAATGATTATTTAAAAAAAAATCATTTAATATATTAGTATTGTTTGAGAAATTTGTAAAAGAAAGATATTCGATGTTTATTGAAGTATAAATGATAATTGCGGTGATAATCTCTCGCGATCGTCTCGTTGTTTGGAAGTTTGATAAACGATTTCGTTGTAAATAAATTCCAATTTTGTTATCACTCGACAGATATAATTCATCTAGAATATCGATCTACTTCAGCTAGTGAATAGGATAGAAGATCTGAAAACTATTTAAAAAGATTTGCGTTCAAATTGCTATTCATTTTTAGCTTTCAATCATGAATAAACATTTATTTCCATATTTCAGGCGAAATGTAGTTTCTTGAACAATAACAATTTCAACACAAAACAAAATCACTTAGCACCCTAACGAATATAAAATACGAAGCTAAAACTATAAATTCCTATTTACACAACTAAAATCTATTTCATCTACTAAAAAATTAAAAGCACCATTATAAATACGAACAATGTACACGAGTAATTCAAATGTTGTTAAGTTTTAAATGATTTTAAAACTATATCAACTCTTTGCGACTACGCCTTCAGACTTTTTTCTAATTCTTATCTCTTCTACAACCTCCATTATTAGCTGAAACGTTTCGAAAAAATAAAATAAAAATGAAACTCATAAATTTATGAATATAAAAGAAAACAATCATGCTCGTGCAAGTAGACGTGATTAAATACATATTAGGGTTTAATTGTGTTATTTCGCATTCTGGACGTGAGTTATTACGGCTATTAATAGTGTTATTAACATAAAATACGTGAAATCAACTCAAACAACAACAATTTGATTCAAACAGCGATGGAGATAGAAAAAATCAATAAAACAAGTAACTCTGATAGGGATCGAAATAAAAATAATCGATATTAAATCGAAGGGTGAAAAGCTGGTTTGGTTGGACATTTCGCTTAAAACGCGACATTTATCTTTGTAATTAAAAGTTCTTTTTAGTTTGTATCAGCATCAACAGTCCGATGTGTTTAATTGAGCTTCAGTTAAGTTTACACCATTCAATTAGCTGTAGAAGTATTTTGCTATGATATTTTTTCAACATTTTGAGCTTTCCTGTAAAGTTGCAAAAATGTTACATAAGCCTTTCAACCCTCGAAATAATGTGTGTACATTCAAAACAATTATTTATCGATCGCAGCTTGAACCAAATGTATGGCTGGGGTGTATAAATGAATAGAAACAATAAGTATTTTTGTGTTTCAAAATATTACAAATATCACTATTTTACTATACATACATTACATAACATTACAAAGCAAAGCTCATTATGATATGTTCTACAACATCTAAGTCAATCAGGACTGACCTGACTCAAAGGTCGAATTTTCTCGTGAATACTGTTCTCCGCCTGCCTTGCCGAAGGCGGAGGATGATCTGGAGTGGGCGGCTGTTCGTAGTGAGTCGGTGACGAAGGAACACCGACCTTCTGCCCGTCGCAATAACGCTCGCAGTCGCTCGGACTGTTCAGCGATTGTTCGTCGAGCAGACTCTCTAAGGAACTCCTCTCCTGGTTCGAGTATTTCCTTACTCGGCTCATCTCGCTTCTGTCGAACTCGTTAGGACCGAAGCTTCTCCTCAATTTCCTCCGTGGATTCTGCTCTTTTATGACGACATTTTCGTACATTGCCGTAATGGCGACGGGTTGGGGCCGCTGCTTCAAGCTAGGTCGAGGAGTCGGCACAGGAACCACTCGAAGCGAATTGTGGTTCTCCTCATATTCGGAATAAGAGAGCTTACTGTCGACGTAATGATCAACAGATCGACCGAGTCTCAGGTAATTTTTTCCACCCTGTAACAAACGAGAAAAAAATCAATAATTACTTGAACGATGGGTTTTCGATTTCGCTAGAAATAAACGATATTGTAATATAGTACTTTGTCATGGCATGTTTGTTGCAAGACCTCAATTCTACTTAAAACCTAGACCAAACCATTAAAGAAACACATAAAATAAGAACATAAAGATCTTTATGAGAACCAAAAAAAAAAGCGATAAATGATACATGATTATAGGTTATGATTCCAGCGTTACTCTTCCGGTACCTGTATATCGTCCAAATCATCCTGGCTCCTGGCATGCGGCCTGAGCTCATAGCTGTATCCAGATGAAGGGGAGTTAGCATGAGTGGGGGACACTGACAGGTTCCTCCGCGGAGGCTTCTTGGGAGGGGTGGGCTGTAAGATATATAGCTGTTAGGCCGATGTTAGGATGATGGTAAATTTAAGCTGAGGTGCATTTGAATTTGGAGTAAGCGTTGTGTTTCCATAGTTGATCAGATCAGTAATTATCTAATGTTTTCTTATTAAATATCTCAGGTTGATTAAATCCACATTGCACTACTGTCCTGAATGCATATGGTGTCCATACCACCTTTAACAATTCACTATGAGCCTACTAAGCCCTCTTACTGAGCTAAGAGTATTATTTTCGGTCCTGCCAAACTCCCTATTCGTTCGTTAAATTATCAAAATAATTAAATTAGGAATACGACCCGCAAACTGTTTTCTATTACGGTCTCATCTCGTTGACAACGGAGGAGCGAGATAAGTGCCCACAATTGAGTAATAGAGAATTTGTAAGGCAACAGGATAAGTTTGAAGCCTGGTCCATGTTATGAAATAACAGCGTCTAGCAATAGCGATCATGAGTGTAGCTTGATAGAATCTTGTTTTTTATTTATTCCTTAGTCAATTAAGCTTGGGATTTTGTGATTAACTAACAACTTTACTTTATATTTTGAGATATTTTACTGATAATAGGGCGTCTTGTGAGTCCGCATGGGTAGGTACCACCGCCCCGCCTATTTCTGCAGTGCGGCAGTAATGCCTTTCGGTTTGAAAAGCGGGGCAGCCGTTGTACTGTTACAAGTGAGACCTTAGAACTCATTTCTCAAAGTGGCCGGCGGCATTTACGTTGTAGATGTCTATGGGCTCAGGTAACCGCTCAACAGCAGGTGAGCCGTGAGCTCGTCCACCCGTCTGAGCAATAAAAAAATCAGAAGGGCATCATGTAAGTCGTCGTGGCCCAAAGGATAAGACGTCCGGTGCATTCGTATGTAGCGATGCACCGGTGTTCGAATCCCGCAGGCGGGTACCAATTTTTCTAATGAAATACGTACTCATCAAATGTTCACGATTGACTTCCACGGTGATGGAATAACATCGTGTAATAAAAACCAAACCCGCAAAATTATAATTTGCGTAATCACTGGTGGTAGGACCTATTGTGAGTCCGCACGGGTAGGTACCACCACCCCGCCTATTTCTGCCGTGAAGCAGTAATGCGTTTCGGTTCGAAGGGTGGGGTAGCCGTTGTAACTATACTGAGACCTTAGAATTTACATCTCGAGGTGGGTGGCGCATTTACGTTGTAGATGTCTATGGGCTCAGGTAACCACTCAACAGCAGGTGAGCCGTGAGCTCGTCCAACCGTCTGAGCAATAAAAAATATATCAGAAGATCATCATGTTTTTTGACACATGCGATTATCTTTTACTAAACTGACATACCAAAGACCCTCAACGGATAGCCTTTTCGTTAATAAACCATCGTCATCGATGCAACCGTATCTAATCTATGAGAGAGAAATCTAAAACTTGTGAATTGAACCATCTCTCGTGGCCCAAGTGGTCCAAGTAATTCAATATGAGCCTTGGATGAGGAGTAAATTGGCTGCAGCCGGTCACTGAATGGACAATTTTCTACGTTAAAGCGTTTCCTGAACGTTATAGCTTGCGAATACGGTTTTATTGTTATCTGCGCTAACTATTCCTTCACATTACAGTTGACCATAATTTTACAAAAACTAGTAGGCAGTCCCGCAGTAGTCGAAATTCGACTATAACTAATTGAAATTATAAGTTTGAACATTAATATTCTATTATCAGTTCTATTGTCAAAGACTATTATTATATTTCTATAATCACAGATTTCGGCAAGACTACACTATAGACAAATAATATTAAAGATAAAAAATATTAATTAACCTATTCTCAATTTGACCACAGACGTCAAGAACAAAAGTTTGACAATAAACAAAGAGTATATATATATATTATTATGGGTGTGTGTGTCAAATACATGGTAGTGTGTGTAATGTTTTTTTTATTGATTTAATGTATTTTTAACGCATATTTTAAAAAAATATTAGCATTCTGCACTCCTTCTCCATATTCGTAAAAAAGGGTACAACGTTTTTGCATCACGTATTAATATATACAGTCAAACCTGGGTAAGTGAGAACTGGATAAGTGAGAAAACTCTATAAGTGAGAGTGATAGCCAGGACCCGTCATTTTTAGCTCCTAAAACCTCTATTAGCGAGAAACAGAAACCTCTGTAAGCGAGAGTCGTTTTTTCCCTCATGGACCTCCGTAAGTGAGACTGCTACTTATCTATACCTCTATAAGCGACAGTCGAGCTTCATTTATTTATATTATTTAGGGGGAACAAATGACAAAACAAATTACAAATTTAACATCTGCTATTTTATGACAAATTCTTAAATTTCGTGGAACCTTTTAACATTGTTTTTGTATTCTTTTCTCGTCAATATAGAACCTATTTTATTTCGTGGAACTAAATAACGTTGTTATTTTATCGCATTCTTTTCGAATGGACACGTGTCCCTGTGTACCGTCCTGTTTGTCGGACTTACTCAGTTTATCATTAATCAATTGCGAGGGAAAGTTCTGTTCTGCATCATGTCAAAACGGAAAATTAAAGTACTGTCATTAAGTGATAAACTTAAAATAGGGAATGCGTTTGAATCCGGAAAATCGCGAAATGAAATTCAGAGGGTGCATTAGCGAGAAACTCGGGTTAGTGAGAAACCTCTATAAGCGAGAATGAAATTATGCTCCCTTGAACTCTCGCTTATCCAGGTTTGACTGTAGTATTATATAGATATCCATCGTATAGTTTATAACAATTACAGATATTTCGGATTACAATAAAAAATACAATTACGTATTGAATATTAGTAAAGGACATATAAGAATAATTTTGCAGATAACCGAACATACATATTATGTCTAACTGAAGCTTCCATAATTATAGATGGATTTATTTTAACATGTAATGTTGTAACGCATATCGTTTCATCGCTCGCGTGTTTCGTTCGCTAATGCGCCCCAGTTCTTAGCGGAGAATGCTGGCCTATATCTCGTGTTTACAAATCGTCTAATTGCTGTATGTTCGACTACTTGTTTATTATTAAAACTGCAGATGTTTAATTTTTGGTCTTATTTTTATTATTTAACATAGATTTTTTTTTACGTTTAGACTGCACGTGTCGAGTTTCCTTTTTAGTTTTCCGATTCGGGAACTTCAAGATAATTATTTTTGAAAGAAAAAAAGTGTTGTTACCTGGAGCTGGGAAATATATATGTTTTTTTATACGACTAGTGGTCCACTGGTAGTCAAAATTCGACTATAACTAATGGAAATTATAAGTTTGTACACTATTATGATTCTATTGTCAAAGACTATTAAATACTTCTTTAATCACAGATTTCGTCAAAACTACACTTTAGACAAATATTAATAAAGAGAAAACAATATTTAATCTATTCTCAATTTGACCTACTATAACTGACAGACTGCAAAGAAAAGTTTGACAATAAACAAATAGTAGGTATGCGTGTGTGCGTCAAATACATAGTAGTGTGTGTAATGTTTTTTTTATTGATTTAATGAATTTTTCAGGCATAATTTATAAAATATTAACATTCTGCACTCCTTCTTCATGTTCTCTATGTGTGGGAAATTCCATACTCCTCCGTCCGCGCAATTTTCGTAAAAAGGGATACAAAGTTTTTCCTTCACGTATTAATATATAGATTTTTAGTTACGACGGAGCATCACCACCGGATTTCACTAGTGATGATTAAGTTTGAATTGTTAAATTATTCTTTAGATATTATTAATAAAAAATACGCATTCTTATGTACAATTATAATATTTGTCGTAAAGTAACAGATAAGAGATCTCCCGTTGGAAACGCCAACTCGTTTACGCAATATTACTAAAATACAACGTGGTGTATCGTGCGAACTTATTTCCCTTGTACAGTTCATTCGAATTCACGATTATAACGCAATTGTGGAAATCAATTTTGCAATAATTGGCGTGTTATTTTTTTTGTACGGAAATAAAAAAAAATTTTTTTTTTTTTCAAATTACGGGTTGCTTTTTTTTTATTATCGCATCAATGTTTCGATTTTGGTCGTTTGCAAATCAGTTAGCTATAAATAATTAGTTTAGTACCGTTGATCGAAATTCTCATCTATATCTATACTAATATTATAAAGAGGAAAGATTTGTTTGTTTGTTTGTTTCGAATAGGCTCCGAAACTACTGGACCGATTTGAAAAATTATTTTTCCATTAGAAGCCGACATTGTCCCTGATGAACATAGGCTACTTTTTTTTTTTTTTTTTTTTTTTCATGTGTGTTTTAATGTTTTCGAAGCGAAGCGAGGGCGGGTCGCTAGTCATATTTATTTAGATTATCATAATAATCGACAGCCTAAGATTTAGTTTCTTATTATGTATTACGTTCTCTTTTTTGTTATGTTTTATTAACATTTGAGAATAGAAAAACTGACAATTTTAAATTGGTTTTATTGATATCACTAAAACTCCTTAATAGCTAGTAAACAACAACAGAAATGATTGACAGATTGACGAACCGAAGAGAAAATTGTACTTAGCTATCTTTGATTACTCATGTAAGTATGAATAATTATTTTCTTTGAGCAATATGTAATAGTACGCTATACTAGTTGTAACACCAATTTCAATCACTCAATCATAAATTTACCAAAAGGAACTGTTCAAGACACGTAATAATCCTTACAAAGCATTCTAGCTCATCAAAAATTTAATTACCCATAAACAAATTACAAAGACATGAAATTTCCCCGAAGACAAAATACATCAAAGGGCCTGAGTTTAAATCGGACACAGAGAGCGAACAGGTCAAGACGACGTACGTTAAAGAGGCGCCATGCTTGCGTTAATTTGTTAGGGAGACGAGGATATGTTAGCCGTGACCGATTGGGAGTGTTTGATTTGATAAAGTGTATACGGAATACATTAGGCGGGATGTCACTTTGAATAGCGTATGTGCCTGAGGCCTTCTTGAGCGACTTGGTGTAGATTGAGTTTTAAATAA